GAAGGGTGAGTCTCAATTCTAGTTTTCTAAGATGGTCCATAGGAATTTCTAGAGCTAGAACCTAGGCTCTAAGGAGGAGAAGAAAAGACCTCACAAAAATGAGGTCAACATTGATCTCAATCAGAAATTGGGGAAAGGAAGGCGCTTCAGTGAATACAAATAGATATAAAAAAATGGCGAGGAAGTTGATATACTTATCACATACACGACCATATATTACTTGTCGTGTGAGTTTGGCATGTCAATTGTTGCACTTGCCCTATGAGAAACACATATTGAAGCAGTCAATATAATTCTCAAATATCTAAAAGGTACACCAGGTAAGGGGCTTACTCTTTCAGAAGATCACACAAAAAAGCATATAAACATACACTTGATACAAATTGGGCAAGCTTAGTTATAAACAGGAGATAAAATTTTGGATACTTCATCTATGTTTGAGGAAACTTGGTTACATGGTGAAGTAAGAAACAAAATGTGGTTGCCAGGAGTTGTGTTGGGGTATACTATTGGACTATGACTTATGTAATATGTGAGTCGTTATGGTTGAAAAGAATTTTGAAGAGGTGCAAATCTCGATAAGTATGTCATTTGAAGTTATACTGTGACAATAAAGCAAACATAAGCATTGCAGAAAATCCAGTGCAGCATGATCGCACAAAGCTTTTGGGGATTGAGAGATACTTCATAAAAGAGGAGATTGATTGTGGAACTATTTGAATGTCATTTATCTCTACCGCTCAACAAATAACAGATATCTTTACCAAACGACTACTCAAGCTTAATTTTGAGTTTCTTATAAGCAAGTTGGGCGTGATAGATAACTATGATCCAACTTGAGGGATGGTGTTGGATTTCTAGGAAGAGTTTTTTAGTTTATTTTATTATTATATATTTTCTATTTTTAGAATGTAGCATTATTGCTATGTCATAACTCATGTTTCCTTCTTTTATCATGGAGAGTTATAATTGATTTTATTTCTTTTTAGTGTGTGAGCCATCCCCTCTATTTATCTTGTAATCGTTTTCTATGAAATTGAAGGGGAATAATTATTTTCTCTCTTCCAAAACCTACAATGCTATTTGAATGAGCAAAACTGAAAAAAGTTGGGCTCTTTATAAAAAGATTATATTGTAATGAAATTAAAATATCTCACATCTGAACTTTTATATTTACTTGCAGAGCACTTTGATTCTTTATACCTATGCCTAAAAAGTTGCATGTCATTTTTAAAATGTGATAATAGTGCTAATTTTTATGTGATATTAAAGATTTGAGTGATATGTGTGTAAATATGAAAGTTTAGCTACGAGACATATAAATACATAGGAATTCTGCGCTGTGTATGTAAATTCCCCTAATTTATCATTGGCTTCTGGTTAATTTAATTCTTTTGTCAGTTTGAAAAATGATATTTCTTGCAAAATTTTTTAACTTTTAGAATTTTGACCTGTTTCAGGTATCTCTTACACAAGCAAGAATTGACATGAGTGAGCTTGATGAAGATTCTGATGGATTCCTTCTGCCTCATGTACGGATTCATTTGCTGATTGGCTCTAACATGTGGCTTGTTGGAGTTAATTATAAGTGCATGCTTGTTTCTAAATTTTCTGAACATCTATGATTGGTTATCGATGATGGCATTCTAATGTCATCTCTTGTTCACAGGAAATGGAAGCTTATATAAGAGGTCTCATACCCAACCTTGCACAGCTAAGGGATATGCCTGCAGCCTTTGTTCAAATGTACTGTCGAATAGCTGCACAGAAGTTCTTTTTCTTCTGTGATCCTTACAGGCGAGGTCTGCTCCACAACTTTGTTTTCCTTTTCACGGATATATATTCCAACTTGACAAAAGTTTCAAAATGGTCTTCATACTCTTTGCAGCGGGGCTATTTTAGTCCCAGAGTTTATAAAAGTTTCAATTTAGTCCCCAAACTTTTAAATATCGGCAGAAATAGCTCTTAGCTAGGTCTTTTTTGAAACTCATTAAATCAGTCCTGGGACGACTATAACACTTTTATAGCCTCTGGGACTAAATTGACCCAATGTAAGTAGTCTGGGGATGATTTTGGAACTTTACTCGTTCCAATTTACAGGTTATAGGGGAAGAAAAATTTGTCTTTTGCAGCTGTTTTTGTTTTTTCATGGGGAATTTACATATATGCTGCACAATTCTTTTGTATTTACTAGCACCTAGATATTCATATTTACATACATACCACTCAAAGCTTTAACATCACATCAAAAATACCATTAGCACTACTTTTTTTTGAAATGTACCTTTTCATGCATAGATTTATGACATAAATGTAAATATCGAACTTTGGGTGTTTGATATATATTTACATAAAAATCATGTGGTATGTATTAATTTCCCTTCTTTCATTTGAGGTTTACTTGCCTATTATTTCATTTTCTGATACACTGGTCTTCATAAATAGGGAAAGCATGTATAAAGAAAATACTGCTCAGCAACTGCCTTCAGGAGCTTATGGAACTGCACCAGGTATTGTAATTGAAGTTAGCTAATTTTCTGCTGTCCCTTATTTGCAGTAAATATGGTTTTTTTGGATGATTGAGTGATTCTTTGTTTGGGTGCTTAAAAGTGTGCGTGGTAATCTTTTTTTGATGAAATGTAGTATTTATTAGGAAGATTTACATACATACAACTTAATTCCAATACTTATGTATTTTACATATCTAACACCTAAACTTCAATTTTATATATATGCCACCTTACCTTTGCATGAAAAGATGTATTTCACTTTTTAAAAGTTTAAAAAGTAATTTTTTTAGTTTGATATGAAAGATTTAGGTAGTATAAATGGAAAAAAGTAGAGTTCAGGTGTTAGATATGTAAATAGATAGGAATTGGGTGGTATGCATGTTAATGCCCTCTTTTTTTAACTTGAAGATGACATATATTTTATTCTATAAAGAAGATAGGAATTTGATTCTGATATTAACTTGAATGTACAATTAATTCAGTTTTATAATGCTGAAGCTTTATCGTCATTATCTGCCCTATTCATGTTAGTTGTATGGCCGGTCTTCAATTGCAATAAAAATGATCGAATATGATGATGCATTTATGCGCTTTTGTCAATTGTTAGTTGCATGGAAATAATTATTGCTATTATAGGGTGAACTTTCCGATAGATACTTATTGTATTTGATGTTCAATCATGAACTAGAAATATCTATTTACATCTCTTTCCTACATTTATAAGCTTTATAAATGTCTGATCTTGGATAAACAATTTTTTACTGCGGATATCTACATAAACATTCTTGAATTTTTTTGTCTTTCTGGCCTGTGTATTATTTCAACTTTTTAGGAACAACGTTATCTTAAGAACGGGAATCATATTGTGCTCCAAAGACCGTAACTGAAAACAATGGTTTTAAAATATCAAGCACACGTAGAGGCTTTATTTTCGTTTAAATGTGCAAAGCAGATAGCAAAGCAGCATTTTATAGATTAGAGTGTTCTTGACTCTTATATCACATATGCTTATACTACATGAATAAAAGTCATTAAATTAGCCAAATTTAAATTACAAAATGTACTTTTTGGGACAATATAAGAATACATTCTAAGGTTTGAAGTCATGCAATCAACTACAACACAGGGGGTTTTTTTTTTTTTTTTTTTTTTTTTTTTTTTTTGGATGAGTCAAGGTGCAATCTACAAAATTGAATCAGTAAATTATTGCAAAATATGAAATAATTAGCATCATTTCTAACATCAAAATAAGATGTCAAATTAAGACCATAAAAAAGTGAAAGGTATACTATTAAAAGTCACAAGAGGCTAAAACGCCCATAACTTGTATAAAATTATAAATATATTGATAAAATTCATTGACAATTACGTTGAAATTTAGCGGGATAATTTTATTGATATCAAAAAAGATATAAATACAAGTTACAAGAGTTATAAAATAGGAAAGACCTAAACTTGGAAATACATAAATAAAAAAATACATAAATATGAAAATATATTAATTAGGAAATATTTGGAAAGGAAAGGAATAACTAAATGCTAATAATTCTAATACTCTCCCTCAAGTTGAATCATAGATGTCAATTATGTTCAACTTCGATTGAAGTCGTTAAATAATGATCGAGGAAGATTTTTTGTGAGGATATCTACTAGTTGACCACTGGATGAAAAAAATGGAACATAATTCTCCTCGGAATTGAGCTTCTCCTTGATTAAGTGACAAACAATATCTACATGCTTGTTGCGATCATATTGGACTGGATTATGAGCTTTGCTAATGATAGCTTTATTATTGCAAAACAGTTGTAGAAGGAACAAAGTCCGACATACATAACTCACGAAACATGATGGGCAACCAGAGAGCTTCACATATTTTCAACGATGTAGAAAGAAACTCGGTTCCAACACTGCTATGGGCTATCGCCGATTATTTTTTTCTTTTCCTAAGGCAAGGTTTCACCACAAGGAGCAATAACTCGAGGTTGATCGCCAATCATGGACTGACCCGCCCCAATCAGCGTTCGTATAAACTGCAATAGAGCGAGTGGTGTGGCGAGAGAACAACAAACTTGAGTCCAGTGTGCCTTTTAAGTAGTGGAGAATCCGGTGGGCAACAATGAGATGTTGCTCATAGGGATTATAGTTGAATTGGCTTACAATACCAACAGTTTGACAAATATTGGAGCGTGCATGGGCGAGGTAATTGAGTTTGCGCACAATATGTTGTTAGTCTTGTTCACCAGAGTGACATTGAGAACATCTGTCAATTTTTCATTGGGATCTATCATAACAACAACCGGTTTGCAAAGGAGAAGGTTGGTCTCTGTTAATTGTTCCATCACATATTTGCGTTGGGAAAGACAATTGCCCTGAGTGGATTGAGCAACTTCCATCCTTAAGAAATATTAGAAAGATCCCAAGTCATTCATTTCAAAAATTGTGGCGAGGATGCCTTTAAGAGATTCAAAGGCTGGCAGATCATTACCTGAGAGCACAATATTATCGACATAAATGATGAGGATGGCAATATGACCACTGTTGGAATGTCGAAAGAAAAAAAAATGATCAGATTGGGCTTGAAAGAACCCATGGCTCACTACTACTTGCATGAACTTGTCGAATCAGGTCCGAGGGGATTGCTTCAGTCCATAGAGAGAATTTCACAGTCGACACACTTGCCCACGAGAAGAAGTAGAGTCCAAGCATAGAGGGAGAGACATATTCATCCTCTATGAGATCGCTGTTAAGGAAAGCGTTCTTGACATGTAGTTGGAGTAAGGGTCAATTTAGATTCATGGCAAGGGATAACAAAACTCCAATGGTGTTCAGCTTAGCAACGGAGTAAACGTCTCCTGATAGTCAACTCTATAAATTTGCGAGTAGTCTTTGGCGACCAACCGCGCTTTTTTGCATTCATAGGATCCATTGAAGTTAAATTTAGTGTTGAAAATCCATTGACTACCAATTGCTTTCTTTTCTCGAGGAAGATCAACATTCCACGTATGGTTTCGCCGAAGGGCAATTATCTCATCCATTACTGCAACCTTCCGGGAAGGGTCCGCTAATGCTGCCTCAATAGTAGATTAAAGACGATCATTCATCAAGAAAGTGACCTGCTTTGTAGGTCGGTGATAAGTTGTGGAATGAGACGTATTTTGCCATGAAATAAAGTGAACATGTCTGATTGCGTACCTCAATGATAGAATTCACCTCCTATTCGGAGCAGGAGTAATCCCCACAAGTTGAGAGAGTGTAGTTCTGGGGATGTCGACCAGAGCAGATTCTATGATCTGTAAGGAGGCAGCGGGCTCAAGAGTAGGTGCATTGATACGAGTCTCAACTGAAGGTTTGATGTGCCGAGTATAGACACAGAGAGTGGGTTGAAGGAGATGTTGGTTTGGATGGTGGCGGATCCAATGGGACTGAAGGTTCCTCAGAAACAATGGTTGGAGCTGTAGGTAGATTATCCATCAGAGTCGGAAAAGGAATAGTGTTAAAAAAGTCTAGCTCCCCCTAACTTGGAGTAGTGTTAGAGAAGTCGAGGATACTTTCAAAGAAATAGACATTAACACTCATATAGAGTTTATTTGTGATATGATCAAGATACCATAGCCTTTTTGAGTGGCAGAATATCCGAGAAAGACAAATTTGATTGAATGGGGACCAAATTTACTACTCGTTGGGGCAGTATTCCAAACATATTTGATAAAACATATTCAATTGGTAGGAAAACCTGACATCAAGACGACTAACGGGGTTCGGAAGTTGTGAATATTTTTGCGGGGACTCTATTGTTGAGATATGTGGAGGTAAGTACGACATTATTCCAAACTTTTTCGGGCATTAGATTGAAACATAATGGACATGCGATTTCGAGATGGTGTTGGTTTTTCGGTTCAACTACCCCATTTTGTTGAGGAGTATATCCGTACAAGAGCTATGATGGAGGATGTCTTTATTTACCAATAATTCTCTCAATATAGAGTTAAAATTCACTGTTGTTAGTTCAAAGGACTTGGATTTGGTCAAAATAGAGTGAAAATTTTTAAAGATAACTGCAACGCAAAATTTGCCTTTTAAGATATAAACCTAAGTAATTCAAGTGTGGCCATCAATCAAGGTAAGAAACCGTTGTTTATTGGTATAGTTGGGAGTTTGAGAGGTTCCCATAAGTCACTATAAGTTAGTGAAAAATGAGCGGAAGGAGTATACGAGTAGGGTGGACATGGGATGCGATGATGTTTAGATAAATGACAAATCTCACCTTTAAACCTAGATAGATTTTTATTAGTAAACATCAATGGATATAACTGTTTTAAATATTAAAAATTGGGATAATCCAAACGACAATGTAGAAGCATAATAGGACATTTAATGGACAGGTAAAAACTACAACTACTGGATGAAATGTCCTCGTCATGAATGTCTTTCTCTTGGAAGAAGTAGAGCCCGATTACCTTCTTAGCAAATCCAATCATCCACCTCGAACGACGATCCTGAAATATACAAACATTAGGAGAAAAATGGGTAACACAATCAATGTCATGCCAACTTACTGATTGAAAAGATATTACATTTCAACAAAGGTACGTGTAACACAGATTCTAGAGTCAATCTGATTGTTAGAACAATAGGTCTTTACCTATGATGGAACTACAGGAGCCATAAGTAATTTTAATAGTATCTCTTGGAGCACGAGAATAGAGAGACTTGAGAAGATCCTGTCATGTGGTCTGTAGCACTTAAATTAATAATCCATGAACCAAAAGAAGCAAAATCAACGAGTTTCATGCAAATGTTACCTTGATGGACATGGGAGAAAGAGAACTGACTAGATTCAAGCAGCTTAATTAGGTGCACCATCTAACTCTTAATGCAGTCTAGTGATTCCGGGATGTTCTGAGTGTGAATCGGCTGTATCGTCGTAGATTTTGATATCATAGTGAGAACCTTAGCAATGGAAGATTCAGTCGAAGGTTTATTAGCCAGTTTACCGTGGA